CCACAAAGTTTGTTTCATTTGTTTTGTTTCTCTAATTGTTTGAGCTTGAAATATTGTCACTCATGAAGGTACCTTCCTTAAGACCAAGTAACCTAACTTCCTTTGGTTTATTCTACTCTACATTTGTCCTCTGGTGTTTAATAATTTCGTGTGAACATTATTGCTTATGAAATAAATAAAAATTATGTTAAACAATGAAGCTTATATTAATTTTTATATATATAAAAAAAACTTCTACTAATAAATTGCCACTGTTTTTTTTAATTTTGTTCAAGAACGCGATATGGTAACTTTAAAACGCGATTTGGCTCGAGCGTTTTATAGTAGGCGGGTGTGGCAAACTTTTGTAAATATGGACCTCCTGGTTGCGCATTTTAGTAAATTAAGCAAAACGGCTACTGTATATAAATAAATATCCTGTGTAGTCAAATCAAAACAGATTATACAAAATAAATTTTTTTAAAAACAAGTATCCATTTTTACGAACTTTGAAAGAAGAAATTTGCAAATATGGCAGATACATTCCCAGAAATAGCAAACAGTGAACAGTTCCTCTTCCCACTTGGTATTTTCTAAAAACCCTAATGTGACTCTGATTTGGGCAAGAAAGAAGAAGAAGAAAGAGTTTTTTTGAGAAAATAAAAGTGATGGCCTTTTCGTATTCTTCTTCGCCGGTCGAAATCGTTCTTCCGGTTCGAGTTGAAACCGTTTTGGACAAAATCTACAAGAAACACAATCAATCTCCGATAACAATGGAGACAAGGAAGAGACTTTCTGAGGAATTAGCTTTGGAAACTCTCAGTAAAGTTCACAATGCGTATCATGTGAAAGGGACAATTGATGGGTTCATCAGTTTTCTACTTGGCAAGTCCGTTACTGTTAATAGCTCTCCACGGCTAAGCCCGGCGAGTCTCCGGTACAGTCTCCTGGTACTCCGGGGAAAAAAAGTCGCAGGCTTTTCGAGGTTAGTATCTGAGAGAGACTCTGTCATTGATGTTAGATTCCACTAGATGTTTACTATGACTATGGTTGATTGTTGCAGAGATGTGTCTTGATTCTGAAGCTCCTTCTCCTAAGTTGTTGAGAAGAGAAGAAAATGGAGGATCTTTGTATATTCCTGAAGCTTTAGGTGAACTTGAATTTAACAACATGTTTTTGTTGCTTACCTATACTCTAGGGTATGTTATGGTCTCCAAGCTTTCGACTTTTTTTGTTTCCATCAGTCTGATCTGTTTCTTTAGAAAGTGATTGTTTTTGGTGTTATACAATACAGGAAATCCTTGGTTGGGGTTATAACTGCTGATGAGATCAGACAATGGAAGAATTTGCATATGGTTGCATACGAAACCACAGTTTGGGACCGTTTAGGCCGGCTTTATTGTTCCCAAACAGACCGAAGAGTGGTATGACTGTTTGCTGTTTGGTGTTGTTTATCTTTTATGTCTGCATTTCTGTAGGTGAATTGAGAAGAAATGGAGAGAGACTTTGTTGTTACGTTGTACTAATTGCTTCATCTTACATGCTTCTGTCCTCAGCCGCTTAAATGGGATAGTGGGAATACTCATTACTATCAATGTCATGTTGCTCCCGATGGTACTTATACATTCAAGGTTGAAACGACTCTCCAAGCTCTTTCTTTCATGTTTTCATGTTCATGTGTTGTATATGTTTTTTGTGTTTCATATATGTTTTTTTGTTATAAAAAAGGTTTGAATTTAAGATATAATTCTAGAGACTATTTCCATAACATATATCTACCGAACATGTGCATCTACTTCAAGGATAGGATTGTGACTTAATACGCTGTTGCTTATCGAAATACTGTGTTCACAGGGGCCTCTTATGGAGAAAACTGGAACACACCTGCACAAGGTTTTGGGTGATGAAAATGTTTTAACCGTCAAATTCGCGCACGTGTCAAGAGAGGAAAACCATTGTATTGACCCTTACCCTGCATACAAATGGATTGCTAGGAATGGTATCATGGTTGGATTACGCCGTTATCAATTTTTTGGTGGGTCTTTTTCCTCTTGATTATCATTTTTCACATAAAACACTTTTCATTGTTAAGGTGCTAGTACTATGTCTAGCAACACACTTGTCCACCTTTCTTAAAAACAGCTTTCA